AAGGATGGAGGGAGGGAGGAAGGAAGGAAGGAGGGAAGGAAGGAAAAATGACAAAGAAAGAAGATACAGTAAAATAAAACAAAGTATAATAAAGTTTTTGAATTAAAAAATAATTATTTAGGTAAAAAAAAGGGACGGATAGAACCTTAGGACAAATGTTGGAAGCAAAGCTATACAGACAAAATCTTACACTGAAGCATACACATACACCCTCACAAAAAGAGGTAAAGGGGAAAGAATCATAAATCTTGCTCTCAAAGTCCACCTCCTTAATTTGGGATGATTCGTTGTCTAAAGGAGGAAAGGAAGGAAGGAAGGGAGGGAGGGAGGGAGGGAGGGAAGGAAGGAAGAAAGAAGGTAAAGTATAATAAAGTTATTAAAATGAATTATTAAGAAAAAAAATTTTAAAAAAACAATGGACAGATAGAACCCTAGGACAAATGGTGGAAGCAAAGCTATACAGACAAGATCTCACACAGAAGCATACACATACACATTCACAAAAAGAGGAAAAGGGGAAAAAATCATAGATCTTGCTCTCGAAGTCCACCTCCTCAATTTGGGATGATTCGGTGTCTATTCATGTATTCCACAGATGCAGGGCACATCAAGTTGATTGTGGAGCTTTAATCCGCTGTTTCTGAGGCTGCTGGGAGTGATTTCCCTTTGTCTTCTTTGTTCTCACAGCTCACAGGGGCTTAGCTTTGCATTTGGCCCTGCCTCTGCCTGTAGGTCTCTGGAGGGCGTCTGTTTTTTGCTCAGACAGGACGGGGTTAAAGGAGCCGCTGATTCGGGGGCTCTGGCTCACTCAGGCGCGGGGGGGAGGGAGGGGCACGGATGCGGGGCGAGCCTGCGGTGGCAGAGGCCGGCGTGAAGTTGCACCATCCTGAGGCACGTTCTCCCGGGGAAGTTGTCCCTGGATCCCGGGACCCTGGCAGTGGCGGGCTGCACAGGCTCCCCGGAAGGGGGTTGTGGATAGTGACCTGTGCTCGCACACAGGCTTCTTGGTGGCGGCCGCAACGGCCTTAGAGTCTTATGCCCGTCTCTGGGGTCCGCGATGATAGCCGCGGCTGGCGCCCGTCTCTGGAGCTTCTTTAAGCAGCGCTCTTAATCCCTTCTCCGCGCACACCAGGAAACAAAGAGGGAAGAAAAAGTCTCTTGCCTCTTCGGCAGGTCCAGACTTTTCCCAGACTCCCTCCCGGCTAGCCGTGGCTCACTAACCCCCTGCAGGCAGTGTTCACGCCGCCAACCCCAGTCCTCTCGCAGCGATCCGACCGAAACCCCCGAGCCTCAGCTCCCAGCCCCGCCCGCCCTGGCGGGTGAGCGGACAAGCCTGTCGGGCTGGTGAGTGCCAGTAGGCACCGATCCTCTGTGCGGGAATCTCCCCGCTTTGCCCTCCGCACCCCTGTTGCTGCGCTCTCCTCCGTGCCCCTGAAGCTTCCCTCTCCGCCACCCGCAGTCTCCGCCCGCGAAGGGGCTTCCTAATGTGTGGAAACCTTTCCTCCTTCACAGCTCCCTCCCACTGGTGCAGGTCCCGTCCCTATCCTTTTTGTCTCTGTTTATTCTTTTTTCTTTTGACCTACCCAGGTGCGTGGGGACTTTCTTGCCTTTTGGGAGGTCTGAGGTCTTCTGCCAGCGTTCAGTAGGTGTTCTGTAGGAGTTGTTCCACGTGTAGATGTATTTCTGGTGTATCTGTGGGGAGGAAGGTGATCTCTGCGTCTTACTCTTCTGCCATCTTCCCTTCGTCCCCCCACTGAGTTTTAATTTGTGACACTGGAGCTTGCAAATTTGCATGTTTAGTTAGCTTCCAAGTGATACTTACATACTTTAAGGTCTCAGAACCACTGAGTTTGTATGAAAATTGTGGCTAGTGGCTAGGGATGATCTAATTCATTCCTACGCAAAGTGTGGTCCACCTTACAAATGTCCAGCATCACCTTAAGAGATGTCCCAAGTAATTCTGACGGGGGTCAGGATTTGGCCATCATCATGTTTTAAAAGCGACTCAGAGGATTTTAATCATTAGTCAAGGAGAAAACCAGTGGTTTCATCCTCTGCTGACTCATTATTGCCAACATGGGTGCAATCCGCCTTGGTAACCATCTTGGCATTTATGTGTATGCATCCAGATTCCTGTTTAAGCTTTCTTTCCTTTCATCACAGTTCATCATAGTGAGTGCACATGTGATTTTGACCATATTGATAGTATTGTGCTTCAATTTTGGAGATGGACATGGCATCACAAATGGCTGAAATGTCCTCAAGAAATGTATCACCTTGGGATAAATGACTATCTAATTGCATATGCAAAGAGTAATAGTCTTTGAAGAGAAAGGAATTTTACAGAGGGAAGGGATTCTAATTCTCATTAAAATTGCCCACCTTCTCTGAGCCCGTTTAGTCCTGCTCAGTTCTACCACCTGAACTGATTCCTGAAGTTCCTTGCTACAAAGTCTATAGTGACTGATTTCAGGAATTGATTAACAATGGGGAACATCTAATCTGTTTAAGCATCTGTGATTTAACATTTCTACCATTAGGGGACAGTATAACTCAGGAAAAAATTTGGCTGGTAATTTGTATATAAAAAACAATCATTTTTCTTATATGAAGATAAAGATTGTAAAGAATTCAGTCCAGGTATTATTGTTTTCAGTAGTGATCATCTGCATTGCCTTACTTAGTTCCCATCACAAGTAATCACATGACTCTTGAAATTAGTCATGAAATAGACAAGAGTAAGGGTTTGCAAACTTTTTCTATAAAGGACCAGATAGTAAATATTTTACATTTTGTGGGCCATATGGTCTCTGTCTCAGTTACTCAACTCTGCCATTATAGCACAAAACAGCCGTACAGAAGATATAAATGAATGGGCATGTCTGCATTCCTATTAAGCTTTATTTACAAAAACAGATGGCAGGGTTTGCTTTACCTTAAGGGCTGTAGTTTGATGACCCCTGTACTAGAGGGGTAGTTTTTAAACCTGGATAATTTTCAGAAGTACATGGGGAACTTGTTAAAAATTTAGAGTCCTGGACCGCACATGAAATCTACTGAATCAAAATATCTGTGGATGGGGCCCAGGCATCTGAATTTTTAAAAGTTCCCACATGATTCTGAAGTAAATTCTTATTTAGCAACCATTAGACCAAAATACAGTTCCCCTTTTAGGGAACTATAAGGTCCTCCTCGGCATATTGTAATATTTTCAGTATCCGAGTAACTATCCATGGTACAAAAGATATAAACGTAGAGCTTAGGCTCAGATTATCTCTGTGGGTACTTTCAAAGCACATCAATGAAGGTCTCATTCCCATATAAATGTTTGTATTAAGTGACTGGTTTGGGGGTTGTTTTGTACCACAGCACATCCCAGCCTGTCCTGACTGATAGAGGGCCATACTGAATTACTTTGAACTGGGAAGGGGAAGAGATTGAAGACATGGAAAAAGGGGAAGGAAGAATGTAGAGAGATGGTGGAATGTTGTATAGTACTTCCCCAAAATGTCCAAAATATTCAATTAACTTCCACTCTCACAAAAAACTTGCTGTGATTGGATTTTTGATTTTTGATTTTTTTTATTTTTATTTTTTTTTGCAGAAATTGGTGAAGGCAAGGGGTTTAATGCCTAGGTAAGTACAAGGCTGAAACAAAGGCAACACACACAGATGCAGTGGAAGGGAAGTTGGATAAGAATATTTTAAATATGGAGTATCCATTCCTCATGAAGTATGTTCTCTAAAGATAGGGTTGCCCTGGGCCATTTTGCCTTGGACTAAGGAAATGTATGGGTATATAGAAGGCCATGCATTGAAAAGAGCTGCAGTGGGTCTTGTTAAGAATATGCTATCAAAGATATTTACTTGTGGTTCTAAAGCATACTGCACATTTTGGACATTTGTTTAATAAATAAAATAGGCCTATTTTTCTGGGGAAGAAGCAGCCTCTGAGATGCAAGAAGCCATTTATTTCTTGCTTGCTGAGGCATGTCCCTTTGTTTCTGAAGTTCAGGACTGTTCTCCCTACTCCTCCCATCCCTACTCACATTCAGCTGTAGAGTTGAATGTAACCTTAATTTCTTTTATGGAACCCCCCATTCCAAATCTGGTACCCAATGTCCACTTCAGACTGTCGTTAGTAACATCACTTCTTACCCACACTTATGACCCACATGGCAGGAAGCAGTCAAGGAGCCAGATTTAACCAGCTCCTACAGAGAAGAAATGTAGTCTTCTTCACTACTCTATAAAATTGAGAAAGGATATGCCTTTTCTGACTTAAGTCAGACACTGGGGAGTCAGATGAGATCTCTTGTTGCAAGAAAGAACTATATTTTTTCATAAGAAATATATGGATAGTATTTAGTATTTGAACCATATTTTCTCAAGAAACAATGTTAGACAAGGTGCTATTGTTTCAGCTCAGCACACAGAATACTATTTATGCTTAGTGCAGAATAAAAACAACTCAAATACCATTGTATTTTGTATTCTGTGGAACCATGCTCTCAGCATATTAACTTGGATTTTCTAGGAATACATCCATCCTCAGGTTATGAAATCTTAGATATCACCCCTGTTCATGTTTGTGGCCTGTTAAACACTATGAAGAGGACACCTACAGAAGGAAATGATAAAGAGTAGCATAGAAGTAAATGAAACAGAGAATAGGAAAACAATAGAAAAGATCAACAAAACTGAGTTGTTTTTTTTAAAAAAAACATAAACATAACTGATAAAACTTTAGTTGGGCTAAGAAAAAAGGAAAGAAGACTCAAAGAAAACACAGAGGAAAAGCTCCTTGACATTGGTCTTGGCAGCAGAAGCAAAAATAAATGAGTGGGTTACATCAAGTTAAAATGCTTCTGTATAGCAACAACAAACAGAAAACAATCAACAAGATGAAAGGTGAACTATGGAATGGGAGAAAATATAAAGGGTTAATATCCAAAATATATAAAGAACTCATACAACTCAATGGCAAAAATTAATCCAATTAAAAAATGGACAAAGGACCTGAATAGACATTTTTCTGAAGAAGACATACAAATGACCAACAGGTACACGAAAAGGTATTCAACATCACTAATCATTAGGGAAATACAAATCAAAACCTCAATGAGATACTACCTCACACCTATGAGAATTGCTATTATCAAAAAGGCAAAAGATGGTTGTTGGTGAAGGTATGAAGAAAAGGGAACAATTATGCCCCACTGTTGGTGGGACTATAAATCAATACAACCATTATAGAAAACACTGGAACTTCCTCAAAAAATTAAAAATGGAACAATTATATGATCCAGCAATCCCACTTCTGGGTATATATCCAAAGGAAATTAAATCACTATCTCAAAGAGATATGTGCACCCTATATTCACTGCAGCATTATTCACAATAGCCACGACATGGGAACAACTTAAATGTCCATTGATGGATGAATGCATAAAGAAACTGTGGTATACATACACAATGGAGTATTATTCAGCCCTAAGAAAGAAGGAAATTTTGCGATTTGCAGTAATGTGTATGAACCTGGAGGGCATTATGCTAAGTGAAATAAGCCAAACACAGAAAGACACTTTTAGATTTCACTTGTGTGTGGAATCTAAAAAAGTTGAATTCGTAGAAGCAGAGGGTAGAATAGTGATTACCAGAGGTGGGGGAGGTAGAGAAAATGGAGAGATATTGGTCAAAATATCAGTTATAAGATAAATAAGTTCTGGGGATCTAAGGTATAGCATGATGACTGTAGTTAAAATATTGTATACTTGAAGTTTGCTAAGAGAGTAGATCTTAAATGTTCTCACCACACACACAAAAGAATGGTAACATATGAGCTGATGGTTGTGTAAACTAACCATATTGTGGTAATCACTTCACTATATATATATATATATATATATATATAATTATCACTTTGTATACCTTAAATTTATGCAATGCTATTTTCAATCATATCTCAATAAAGCTGGGAAAAAATGTGAAAAAGACAGACAATTTTAAGTGTCTGCAAGGACAAGGATTTGGAGCAACTGTAACTTTACTACTCTGAGGGAGTGTAAATTGACACGAGCACTTTGGAAAATTGTCACCTAGTATCTCTTAAAGCTGCATATCCCAGCTATTCTGGTCCTAGGCACAAACCTTGCAGAGATGCATACATATGTTTGCCAAAAGACATGTACCAGAATGTGAAAAGTAGTATCATAACTATCCAAGTTCTCATCAACAGTAAAGTGGATGAATATGTGGTGGTATAGTCACAGAGGAATACTACACAATAATGAAAATGAATAAATTACTTCAACAGGCAACAACATAATTACATTTCACAAATGTAGAGTGAAATAAGCAGACACAAAAGAGTTCATGTTTCATGATGTCATTTCATAGCATGTTCCAAAGCAGACAAAAATAATTTATGATGATAGAGGTCAGAGTAGTAGTTTCTTTGTGTGTGAGAGAGAGCCTGGGCCTTCTAGGGTGCCATACGTTCTACTCTTTGATCTGGGAGGTAGTAACATGAGTTGTTCACTTTATAAAAATTAACTGAGATTTAAACTTATGATTTTTGCATTTTTCTGAATGTCTACTATATTTTAATAAAGGAAATTTATGCTTAAAAAATATTGTTCACTTTTTCTTTAGAGGATTTTAGATTTTGATGCCATCTTTTTCATCTCTGTGCAGTTTTAGAGCCACAACAATATTGCTCAGAATGTTGGAGCTATGTTTTCACCATAGAACATTCTCCAGCATTCATCCTTTCCAGTTAATCCCTGAGATTTTCCAAAGCTTTGGTGTAGTGGAAGGGAAAAAAAGGAGGCACTGAAACATACCAGGGTTTTAATCTCAGCTCTGCTATTTTCTAGCAATGTGATTTTTGGCAAGTCAGTTTACCTTTGCCTTTTTCCTGAAAGTCTTTTTTTTTTCCTTAATAGTAAAATGGAGTTGTCAATAGGTGTGTCATAGACCGGCTATAAGAATTATATTTGATATCACAGGGTGACTGAGCTTTATTTCACATGATCCCTTCTCAGTCGATGGTAGCTCCTTGTTCCCTCACCTCCCACCCCACCCTACCCACTTGCATCTGGGAACTAAATAGAACCAATTTCCTGAATAAGTTAAAAGGTGACGTTCAGATGGAAGTAGGTCTGACATTATACGCATCATTAATAAAAGTCATTGAACATATAGCTGTCACTTCCATGTAGTTCACTTATAGGGAAACCTCACCTATGGGAAATTCCACCCAAAAGCCATAAATGGAAAAGGAGAAAAGTGATGTCCGTAAAAGTCCTTGCACTTTCCGTGGCCAACATTCACCTAATTCACAGGAGAGGATCTGAGGTTGCCATGAAGGTCCTATGAACTATTATGTTAGATATTGGCTCCCAAATTTACAGTGGATTACAGGGCAGGAACACTGCAGCAGTGAAAACAGGAGCTGTGGTCTGAAATCAAGGAGGAAGCAGGGAAACTGTAAAACTTAGGAGAATTTTTTTTTAAAGGGGGTAGTGTAGAATTTTTTAAAAAGGAGTTTAGCATTCCTGTTGTCCCTTTGAACATTGTAAGATAGTATAATAATTTATGTCAATAATAATTATTCCTTAATTGTCAATAAAAGTATATATTTTATGTTATTTTTAGTTGTTTTAAGTATATTGGAAAGTATGTAATACTTTTTTAATTTCCATTTTTTAAAAAGTAGGTAATATGTAATATGTAAGTAGTTAATATATTTCCTTATAAAAGATGTTGGTGGCCCTTCATCAAGAAATTTAAGTCATCTTGAAATTTCAGTTTATAGAATAACTGTGGATGTCAGTTACTTCCACTCATGCCTCTGTGTGTGCGTGTGTGTGTACATACACACATATAATTAATTCTTTTAAAAGATTTTTCTATAGGGCTTCCCTGGTGGCGCAGTGGTTGAGAGTCCGCCTGCCGATGCAGGGGACTTGGCTTCGTGCCCCGGTCCGGGAGGGTCCCACGTGCCGCAGAGCGGCTGGGCCCGTGAGCCGTGGCCGCTGGGCCTGCGCGTCCGGAGCCTGTGCTCCGCAACGGGAGAGGCCACAAGAGTGAGAGGCCCATGTACCGCAAAAATAAAAGATTTTGCTATAAAGATAATATATTCATGTAAAAATATCCTCTTTGAACTCTACATTGGGAGATTTACCCAGTTACTAAAAGAATAAAAATTCTTAATTCTAATATGGTTTCACAGAACATTGCTGCCGTGAGATCTCAGAGGATAAAACCACATCTATCAAATACTGTTTCCTTGGATTATGAACAAACATCCTTTGAGTAAATTATATCCTTCTTTACCTTAAGAAATAAAATATCAGGCATCTCATCATCTCCTAAAAAGTAATTTTTGTCACTGTTTTCTCCACATTAAATTATCTTGAATGTTTCAACTTCTTAGAGTAAATTGGCTTCCCCAGAACTACCTATGTTTTTGAAATTACTTTTCTTTCCTTAGAAGTAATTTCTATATATGATTGAACTCTGTGGCAAAGTTCCTGTCCTGGGTAATTTTTCGTTAGTAACTTCATGGACTTAAATGCAATACTTACAGAAGCCACATATAAATTGACAATATTTATTGTCAATACTCATGA